ACTTTGAGCTTTTGAGCTTCTTGTTGCTGCACAATCAGAAACATTTTACTCTTGCTAAATTTTTCATGACCCCTGCCACATAAAGTTGCATGACCCCAAGAGGGGTTTGAAGTACAATTTAAAGAGTTGGAGTCTCAAGGAAGCCTCCCTAAACTTTATGAGTTTTACCCAAAGACCCATGCAATTCCAGTTTATAAGTGTAATGGTCTGTCCTGTCCCTTTAAGAGACAAGCTCTGCCCACTCCCCTTGCACCAAGGCAAGGGATCTTCCTCCCTTTTCCAGTCTGTGGGTTCTCTCTGCCTTGTCTCTCTGCCGAAGAGGTGGCAGAAGCCGCCTCTCCTCTCCCGCCTCCTCTTTCCCCCCCCCCTCTCTTTTTCTCTCTCTCTCTGTTTCCTCTCCCTCTCCCCCCCCCCTCTCTCTCTCTCTCTCTCTCTCTCTCTCTCTCTCTCTTCTTCTCCCTCTCTCCTTTTCTCCCTCTCTCCCTCTCTCCCTCTTCCCTTTCCTTCCATAACCCATTGAATAACCCAAACCCTCTCTCTGCATTGCGTGCCTATCCTTCTTTGTCTTTCACCCACCCATGGCTCCTTAGGGGACCACCTGCCCCGCTGCCCCAACGCCCCACCTCTGAGGTCTCTCATCTGCAGCCTCCCACCTGCCTGGGACCCACAGAGGCCTTGGATGATGGGACCCGCTTCCCCTCGTGCCCTGCTACGGCCTCTTGGGGAACGGCACCATTTTATTTAAACCATTACAGTAGGAAACAGAGTGACTTGAAGAAACATCACTAGTGACAAAAACCTCACAGTCGCTAGAGACAAAATTGTTGACATTAGGCTAATAGAGAAAAATAAGAACTTGTTTAAATCATAAATGTTTCTGGTCCTGCTTTGATTCCCATGATTTAAGTGTTGGGAACAGAACTCAGTGTCTTCACGCTCAGCAGGTACTGCATATCTAACTCCCTAAATTCCCAAGCAGTGTTTATTTACCCATCACGAGCCTGTTAATTTAGTCGAGTAAAACTGTAACATTTATGCTAGAATTTATTTCTTGCAGAAACTAGCTAATAAATTTATTCTATCCAGATTTATTTCATTTGTCTTCTCCATACTTTTTAAAAAATTATTTTATTTTTACATACTAATCCCAGTTTCCCCTCCATTCCTTCCCTCTCACCCCACTTTCCCCTTCCCCTCCCCATCTGTTCCTCAGAGAGGGTGTGGCCTCCCATGGGGAATCAGCGGATTCTGTCACATCACCACACTGAGGCAGGGCCAAGACCCTTCCTCTTGTATCTAGGCTGAGAAAGGTTTCTCTTCATAGGAAATGGGCTCCAAAAAGCCAGACCATTCATTAAAGATAGTTCCTGGTCCCACTGCCAATGGCCCCACAAACTGCCCAAGCCACCCACTGTCATTGGCTAGATTGGTCTTTTCCAGGTTTCCCAGAGTCCGTGAGCTCCCACTAGTTTGGGTCAGCTTTTTCTGTGTTTCCTCATCCTGGTCTTGACCCCTTTGTCCACAGCAACATTACTCATAATAGCCAGAACCTGGAAACAACCTAGACGCTCCAAAGAATATATAAAGAAAATGTGATACATTTACACAATGGAGTACTACTCAGTGATAAAAAACATCATCTTGAAATTTGCAGGCAAATGGACAGAAATGGAAAAAACCATCCCTAGTGACGTAACCCAGACCCAGAAAGACAAATATGGTATTTACTCACTCATAAGTGAATATGAGGCTTAAAACAAAGGATGACGAGCCTACAGTCTATAACCCCAGAGAAGTGAGGTAACAAAGAGGACTCTACGAGAGACATACCTGGCTCCATACTGCTTAAAATCTCCTCAAGCTGTTGATATCATGTGATAAGAAAAAAAAAGACCACCATTTCTGCCTACAACCAAACCCATGCAAGGTTTTAATTGGAGAACGTGATATTCTTTGACTTCCCAGAGAGAGTAGTGACCTTTGAAGTCAGACATCACAGGGGTGACCCTGTCACCCAGTTCTTCCCAGAGACAGCTGTTCCTGACTAATGCTGCTGTTGTTGTGGTGGTTCAGAGATTCAGAGGTAGCTCATTGCTGGCTGTTGCTGCTTCTTTACCATGTGTGAGCATGAGCCTCTGCTGTTTTAGGATCTTTTCCTCAGTTTAGATAGTGAGATGTCACCGCTTAATAGGTTGTCAGGGTGATGGCACCTGAAGAACAGCTCTCCCCTCCCCCTGCAGCTTTGGTATGAAAAGATCAATCTAGCGTATAAAAGCAGGCACAGACAAATGGCTAAACACTGTAGTACAATGAAGGCATACATCTCTAAAATGAGAATCTTGAAAATCAATAAGAATTGAAATTGAAAAAGGAAGAATTGTAGCTGTCAAGATGCAGGATATCAGTGGGACATTCGCACGAGGTACATTTGGCTTCTCTGGTGACTGGGAACGTCGTCAATTAAGAAAAGTTGTCTCTGGGGTGACCTTTGTTATGTGTCTCAGAAAAACATCACAACTCATCCCGAGGACTGGATGCCTCTCCCAACTCAAAATTATCCTCACCCATCATGTTAGCTTCTGGCATGAGGAGACCTTCCTCTTACCAGGGATGGAACTTGGAGGAGGAATTACAAGCCACGTTTGAGAGGTTCTTGAGGTTGGGGATGGATCCTGTGAGGCCAGCATAGTTTAGAAGAACTCCACTCTTTAGTTCATTTCCCTCAGTTTATTCAATAATTTTTTGTTATAGATCATAATGGGGAGTCTATAATATTTTATTTTTTTGTTTCTCTTTTTTATTTATTAAAAATTTCCGCCTTTTCCACTCCTCCCATTTCCCTCCCTCTCCAGTCCTAAGAGCAGTCAGAGTTCCTTGCCCTGTGGGAAGTCCAAGGTCCTCCCCCCTCCATCCAGGTCTAGGAAGGTGTGCATCCAAACAGACTAGGCTCTTACAAAGTCAGTCCATGCAGTAGAATCAAAACCCAGCGCCATTGTCCTTGGCCTCTCAGTCAGCCCTCACTGTCAGCCACTTTCAGAGAGTCTGGTTTGATCAAATTCTCGTTCAGTCCCAGTCCAGCTGGCCTTGGTGAGTTCCTATTAGATCAGTCTCACCATTTCCATGGGTGGACACACCCTTCACGGTCCTGACTTTCTTGCTCATGTTCTCCCTCTTTCTACTCTTCATTTAGAACTTGGGAGCTCAGTCCATTGCTCTAATGTGGGTCTCTGTCTCTATCTCCATCCATCGCCAGATGAGGATTCAATGGTGATATGCAAGATATTCATCAGTGTGGCTATGGGATAAGGCCAGTTCAGACACCCTCTCCTCTGCTGCCCAAGGAACAAGCTGGAGACATCTCCTTGGAGACCTGGGAACCTCTCTAGAGTCAAGTCTCTTGCCAACCCTAAAATGGCTCCCTTAATTAACATATCTACTTCCCTGCTCCCATATCCACACTTCTCCATTTCAACCATCCCATTCCCCCAAGCTCTCCCCAATCCTCCCCTTCTCCCTTCTCCCTCCCCATCTCCCCTTACCCCCACCCCACCCCCACCCCCATGCTCCCAACTTTTGCCTGGCAATCTTGTCTACTTCAAGTAAATATGAGGATAACTATATGTTTTTTTTGGGGGGGGGTTCACCTTATTTAGCTTCTCTAGGATCATGAATTATAGGCTCAATATCCTTTATTATGGCTAGAATCCACTTACGAGTGAGCACATACCATATTCATCTTTTTGGGTCTGGGTTATGTCACTCAGTAAAGTGTTTTCTATTTCCATCCATTTGCAATCAAAATTCAAGATGTCATTGTTTTTTACCGCTGAGTAAAACTCTAAAGTGTATATGTGCCACACCTTCTTTATCCATTCTTCTATTGAGGGGCACCTAGGTTATTTCCAGGTTCTGCCTATTACAAATAGTGCTGCTACAAATATAGTTGAACAAAAGCTTTTGTAGTATGATTGGGCATCTCTTGGGTATATTCCCAAGAGTGGAATTGCTGGGTCCTGAGTTAGAGAATGAAAATAGATTCCTATCTATCACCATGCACAAAACTCAAGTCCAAATGGATTAGAGACCTCAGTATTAATCTGACCACAATGAACCTGATAGAAGAGAAAGTGGAAAGTAGTCTGCATCACATGGGCACAGGAGACCACTTCCTACGTAGAACCCCAGTAGCACAGACAATAAGAACAACAATGAATAACTGGGACCTCCTGAAACTGAGAAGCTTCTGTAATGCAAAGGACACTGTCATTAAGACAAAAAGGCAACCTGCAGAATGAGAGAAGATCTTCACCAACCACATCAAACAAAGGTCTGATCTCCAAAATATATAAAGAACTCAAGAAACTATACATTAAAACTCTAATTAACTGGCTCTCTGCTCCTTCCTGTTCTAGAGACAGCTGCTTCTTTTCGTGCAGTGCCAGTCTCGTTCCAGAGACACAATAGTGAAGGTCAGAGGGAACGTATTGGGCCATATTGGACGCCTGGTTACCAGGGCTGCCTTCACTTCTGGCAAAGTGGACATTGTTGCCATCAATGACCCTTTCATCGACCTCAACTACATGGTCTATATGTTCCAGTATGACTCTACCCATGGCAAGTTCAAAGGCACAGTTGAGGCTGAGAATGGGAAGCTTGTCATCAATGGGAAGGCCATCACCATTTTCCAGGAGTGAAATCCCGCCAGCATCAAATGGAGGTATGCCGGTGCCGAGTATGTTGTGGAGTCAGTCGACTGGTGTCTTCACCACCATGGAGAAGGCTGGGGCCCACTTGAAGGGTGGGGCCAAAAGGGTCATCATCTCTGCCCCTTCTGCAGATGCCCCATATTTGTGATGGGTGTGAACCATGACAAGTATGACAATTCCCTCAAGTATGACTAATCCCTCACCAACTGCTTAGCCCCCTTGGCCAAGGTCATCCATGACAACTTTGGCATCATGGAAGGACTCATGACCACAGTCCATGCCATCACGGCCACCCAGAAGACAGTGGATGGCCCCTCTGGGAAGCTGTGGCGTGACGGCTGTGGTGCTGCCCAGAACATCATCCCTGCATCCACTGGTGTTGCCAAGGCTGTGGGCAAAGTCATCCCAGAGCTGAACGAGAAGCTCATGGGCATGGCTTTCCACATTCCTACCCTCAATGTGTCCATCGTGGATCTGACATGCCGCTTAGAGAAAGCTGCCAAGTATGACGACATCAAGAAGGTGGTGCAGCAGGCATCCGAGGGTCCACTAAAGAGCATCCTGGACTACACTGAGGACAAGGTTGTCTCCTGCAACTTTAACAGTGACTCCCACTCTTCCACCTTCGATGCTGGGGCTGGCATTGCTCTCAGTGACAACTTTGTAAAGCTCATTTCCTGGTACAACAATGAGTTCGGCTACAGCAACAGAGTGGTGGACCTCATGGCCTACATGGCCTCTAAGGAGTAAGAAGCCCACCCTGGACAACCCACCCCAGCAAGGACACAGCAAAAGAGAGGCCCTCGGCTGCTGAGCAGTCCCTGTCCTAACTCAACATTTGACATTGAGCGTCTCCCTCACAGTTTCCATCCTAGACCCCCATATAGCAGGAGGGGCTTAGGGGGCCCTACTCTCTTGAATACCATCAATAAAGTTCACTGCATCCCCTCAAAAAAAAATTCTAATTAACCCAATTAAAAAATGGGGTACTGAACTGAACAGAGAATTCTCAACAGATCAAGTTCAAATGGTCAAAAGACACTTAAGGTCATGCTCAACCTCCTTAGATCAGGAAAATGCAAATCAAAACAACTTTGAGACACCATCTTACACCTGTCAGAATGGCAAAAATCAAAAACATCAATGATAGCCTATGCTGGAGAGGGTGTGGAGTAAGGGGAACACTCATCCATTGTTGGTGAGAATGCAAGCTTGTGCAACCACTTTGGAAATCAGTGTGGCACCTTCTCAAGAAACTGGGAGTCAACCTACCTCAGGACCCAGCAATTCCATTCAATAATTTTTAAAATTTTAAATCTTAGAATTCAGTATAACAACTCCTACATCACAACAGAAATAGACATTCGTTGAATACTTAGGTGTGCCTGGTGTTACCAAAGCACCTGCATGTATTTATATACAATGGTGGGAAGAGTGATAGTGACAGATAATGTTGGGTGTGGTGCATTGTGTCATGAGCTTTGTGACACTCCTCTGAAGTATGTCCTATCATTATCCCATCTGCCAGATAAGGAAATTGTAGCTTCTGAGAGGTTGAGTACCTTGAGCTATGCTACACAGCTGGTGCTGAACCAAGTCAGACATGATTCTACTTTGTAGGGTTCCAGAAGTCTCATAGTTTCCTATTTCCCATCTGTTCACACAGTTGTCAGTTTGGCTTCTCTGGTGCTTCTTTCTGTGGCTCATCCCACTTCCTGAAGATGACTCACTCGGAATTGTTGTTGAGTCTTTACCCGTGCCTCACTCTGCTAACCTGTATCCATCCCGGCTCTTAACAGCACCTATAATCTCTTCTGAGGCATGGTTCTTTTTCTGTTAAAGTTATACCAAACAATTTTAAAAATCAGTAAGGAATGGGACTTATGATTCTGCCAATCTTTTACCTGTTAACATACAACCAGAAACAAATTAGCTACTACCGTCAGAGCAGAGCTAAGGCAAGTCACAATGTATCCTCCTGTGGTGACCAAAAGCAAGCTTATGTTGTTGGAAGACCTGCTGTGTAGGCACATAACAATGGGATACAGTGAGATGAATCCAAAATAAGAAGATGTGGGTTTGTGTATCTTGTCCATTATGAAGCTTTTTTTATTTATTTTTTTTCAGGGAAAGACTTTGTTTAACAGTATGTGCATGCTCTTTGGTACCTTTAGCTGGCAGTTTGTCCAGTAACATCATTTTGCCTTTGAGATGTAAATCAAATGGTGTAATTCAAGCTAATATGACAAATTCTGTTAGCCAAGTATGTTTTTAAAGCATATATTAATATTTTCACGAAGACTGCGAGACTGAGGTCCCTCTACATGTCTTTTTCATGAGCTGGGTGTTTTTCTCTCACATCTGAGATTTCATAGGTAATCCCCGAAGCTGCTTATCAAATTCTAATGGTGTTTGCCTCACTTGGGGATTGAATACATCAAATACACTTTCTGGGCTGGGGAGATGTCTCTCGGTGAAGTGCTATGCCTGTAAGCATGAGGACCTTGGGACTGGCTTAAAGCTGGGCACACACATCTGCAATTGCAGTGTTCCCATTGTGATAAACAATACAGGACAAACCAGGAGAATCCCAGGAAGCTCACAGAGGAGCGAGGCTGGCATATACAGTCTTGAACAAGGGGCCCTGACTCAAACAGGTGAGGACTGATACCCGTATCCTCTGACATCTACATGCTTGCCATGGAAGTGCATGCCTGTACTTATACACATGATAACACACACACACATGCATGTAAGACAGATAACACACACACACACAGAGGGAGGGAGACAGGGAGAGAGGGAGAAGACTGTATTCCAGGAAGCTGAGGTGGAATTGAGACTCTGCATGTCCTCCACATAGTGTTAGAGCATCATAGTTTGCAAAGCAAGCCTTTGGTGCACTATGGGTCTTGCTACCATGAAGAACACTATTGCAGAACCATCTTTTTATGTGCTAGAGGCTCCATCACTAAGATTCTTAAAAGATGGAACTGCTCTTTCTTTTTTTTTTTTCTTCCCAAGCTCTACAAGAAGAATTTGTTACTGATAGGGATTCCTGAATAGCAAACAGTGAACAGTGGAGGCTCTCTTCCAGACTCTTCCTCCCCCAAATTAGGCATAAACTACACCCAAACACCTTTTTTTAACCAAGAGTTCCTTTATTATGCTGAGAAGAAAAGGTAGAGTGGCTGCTTTCTGACTCGGGCAGAAAAACAGCAGCAAATGACCTTACAGTTGTCTTTCCTAAGAGAAAAAGGGGAGGTCTGTGTTAGGATGGGCTAGGATGTGGTGGTAGAGGAGACGAGGGTGAGGGAGAAGGGGAAGTAACAAGGGAGAGAGGGCAGAGGTCTTTGTCCTGGAGAGACAAAGGACTGCCTCTGCACAGAGAGAAGACAGACATGGCACAGGCAAATGGTGGTTTATAAAGGCAAAGGGGGAAACCCTATCTTAGGATGAGGTGTGTGACTCCAATTGGGCATGTTAATTAGTAAGCCAAAAGGAGTTTTGTGGTTGCTAGACTTTGGTAGTCAGCCTTAGGAAGAGGAAGTGGTGGAATAAGGGAATAGATCTTGGTGACAAACTTTAGGAATTTAACCTAATGGGTTTTACCAGGGTGGAGGAAAACAGGGAGAAAGGCAGGGCCTGCCAGAACCACATGCTTGAGTGGGCTAGTGTCCCTCCAGTTACACAGAACTATATTCTCACTTTTTCAGAAGTGCAAAGTCATGAATTTTAGTTAGCAATTGCTGATTTCAACTTCAGCTATCTCAAGAGTTTTGAAGTGGGCGTCAGCCTGCTGTGCTGTATATAGCAAAGAAATGGTTCTATGACTTAGTCTTGAAGACTGACCCTGAGTCATTGCTTGCAAATGAACATCTGATTTCAGAAGAGCTTTGTAAACAGATTTTGGAAGTGAACATGTTCCTTGATAGCTTCCCCCTCTCTAATGTCTCAACTTCTATTTCTATGAACACTGACGTAACTGTACTACTTTAAATGTTAGTAACATCAGATAATACCTATCAAGATTGCATGCTCATGACAGCACAGTTTCTATCTTTGCTGCTTTAGCAAAAGAAAAGGTTCACAGAAGAGAAACCTGGAGTTTCCAGATGGGGACACCATGCTGTTCCCTGGTGTCATAGCTAGTTTCTTTGTCTCAAATGAAGAACTGAATGGGACACATGACTTTGGATTTATTTTTATTTATTAAATGTGAGAATAAAAAGATAGGATACTGACCACAGTATCTAGTAAGCATGTGACTTAAGAACTCTGGGTTAGGCTCCAAGAAATTTTTCTCCCCATGGGACAAAGAGGAGCTCTCTGAAGGGGTGAATCCTATTTTAAGTTGTCCTAATTTTCTATAGCTGCTGTAATGGGCTTGTATAATCCTTGGATGAGTCTGGGGCCATCAATGTGATGCTTTCTTTTTTCTTGGTTGCTTGCTCCCACAGTTTAACTTGCTTATTGTGGGGCCCAACCCTTCAGGCTCGAAAGAGACCACCCAGGAACGGACCATCCAAGGGTAAATATCTAACATTCCAACCATTGCAAATAGGATCACCTGACGTCCCTTAGCCCAGCACACACCCATCCCATTTCACCAAGACACCCCTAGCAAATGTCAACCAATCAAGGATCCTGAACCCTAAAAATTCCTTCACCTAAACCTCTGCTATGAGAAAAAAAAATCCCCACCCCAACTGGGCTTGTGGAGATCTGACCTCACGGCTATGTTGGGAAGACGAAAGGTCCAAATTTGAGCTTATTCAAATTTGAGCCTTTATTCAAAGGCTCTTTGTCTTTTCATATGAGTGCGGACTCCATGGTGGTTTGGGGGGAACCCCCCAATTTGGGCATAACATTGACTCACATTCACGTGGGTTTGACCTGTCTTCTTGTATCACTGCTAGATAGCACTTGGCACCTAATCAAATCTGGCATGGTTCGTGAGACGCCACACTCAAGAAAGTGCAGCTGAGAAGACATGTCACCTACAGTTATTCATAGCTAACCTCCCAGGCCAAGCTAGCCAGAGAAAACCAACCTGAATCATAAGACAAGTACATCCACAAAAGGACATTGTCCCCAACAATGGCAAGGTGATTATAAGCAAAGACTGGAAGATAAGCCAGAGGAAACTAGGGCTCCAGAGAACTGAGTAGAATGTCTGTGTGTACTGAATCTTGGAGCAGCAACAAGGCGTATGAGAAATACAGCTGGTCTTGGAGTTAACCAGGTGATGTTTCCAGCTTGGCAGATACACCATACTAATACATTGGCACTGAAGGGTGGGTACCCTCCTGAGCAAGGACACTGGAGAAGCTCACTGCACTGTCCACAACATTTCCAGATTTCCAAAATTGCTCCAGTATGAAACATCCATTGGAAATGATATTGAAAACAACTTGAGAGGGGAAGAGGGAGAGTTTAAGGAATTACTGAAACTTTTTTTTTGACAAAATGTTTTATTGAGCACACACACACCTGCTACATGGAAGTGTGCATTTTAATAGTCCCATTCTGAGAAAATAAATACGGAAAATCAGAGATGACCACACAGGAAGCAGCAGAACACCTCGGTGCCACGTGGGCTTAGAGAGACTTAGATCTCGTGAAGATGCTCAGCTGACATTTACCAAATTGCTTTGAAGGCAAACACCATCCAGAGGATGGTTGAGATATTTGTCTGGTGACTAATCCCAAGTTGGATTCCAATGGAGGAAATTGGAGAGATCCATTAGGCAGACAGGGCTGTCCATTTTCTCGGAATTATCGACCGTGGCAG